AGCATGTCTACATCTTTTGAATCAAACCTGCCACTCATCTGACCTTAAACTTTCACGAGATATGATCAAACATAGTTCAATTTTTTTAATGATTTTGTTGGGCTTGCAAAAGAATTTTTAACAATGGGATAACTAATGCAATCAATATTGCGGTTTTTCTTACAATGCGCAGTGTATCAAGTTGTGCGCTCAGCAGTGCCGAAGTGCAAAAGTGCCGAAACTGAAAGTGTGTTCAACATTGCCGAAAACTGAAAATATTTGAAAATAAAATTGATGTTTGAATACTGTTTTGTTTTGGAGCAAAACTGAGGAAACAACTTGACAATTTGCTGTGTTAATTGTTTGCTCAGAAAAATGTGTGACGCGGCGATTGGGAAATTTTTTTTGTTGAACAAGTGGCATCAATTAAACTGGCCAGTTTGACTTTTCCGTCAATTTGAGTTAGATTACTTGTCAGCGATTTGGGATCAATAAAAACCGTTTTCAACAAACTTTTTGGCACTAATGAACTACATTAGTTTTTCGGCATTGTACTTTGGCACTGTTGTACTGCGCCGTATCAAGCAATTTAATGTGACTCAAAAATCAACCCAAATTGAGTTAGCCAAATTCATTATTTCTATTAGACTTGAAAAACGTAAAATATATACTTTTTTGTAAACAGTAACATACCTCTCAACTATCTCGTTCGGTCCTGGTTAAAGTGTCCAGACTAAAAATAATCACCAAAATCACAATCACTGATCTTTATCTGAAAAATTGTTAAATGCTCGTGCAGAAAAGGTATCGAGCGGCTACTCTTCTCCATAAGCGATGAAAATTTTCGAGAAAAAGTCAGGAATTTTGATTTCGATATTAGTTTTTTTTCTATTTAAAGTCTAGCCAGAACCGAATAAGCTACTTGAAAATTATAATTTAAATGAAACTTTCACCTTAATTTGCGTTAAAAACAGTCTCAGTTTCAACTAATTTTTTTTTGCTTTTAGTGGTTGGAAACAATTTAGCTTTTGGTTCGTGTAATAAACTTTTTTACAATCAATGTTTTTACAGGAGATATCAACTTTACTTCCTTCAAGTATTTTTGACAAAAAAAAACACAAATACTGTAAGCGGTTTCTTGAATTACTTTTAATGCAATTTTTTTTAATGTAACTATTTACAATCATCCATACTTTTTTAAATTTATTCAAATAAAAAATTAATCTGTTGTGTTCAAGGGTGTTATGTATAAACTATTATTATCTGAGATGATTCAAAATTGACTTTTTTAAGTCAAATCGGATTAAATCTTTGGGAAAATTATAATTTTTTTATTAGCGCTTAGAGTCGTTTTGGACAGTTGTTTTGTTTTCAATTTAACATCTGTCACAACAGTAAAAAAAAACTGATTTTGCATATATAGACCAGTACGGGATCATTTAATCTGTTTCTACAATTGATGTAACTGTGAAAGTCAGGTCCATAAAAAATAGATTTTGCGCTAGAACTGAAAACAAAGAATGAAGTTGATCAAAACATTCAAATTGAAATTGAATTATGATTACTTAAAGACTGTTGATTGATTATTTTGAAATTTTCATACCATTTGAATTTTTGTAATTGGGAAAAATCAAAATTGTACTACTATTAGATTTTCAGGGAAACATTTATTGTAATTGAGTCAAAACTTTGATTAACTGCTGCAAATTTTACCTTGTTATATTTTAATTGGCCTAATCACAAGTTGCTGATTGATTACGCAATCAGAAGTAACAAAGTATTCCAATTTATCTCTCACCTCCAATTTTGATTTTAAAAGAGTGTTTCAATTATGGCAATTAAGAGATAAGTAACTTTTATAAGTCACTTTTATAATTAACTTTTTCAAGTAACTTCCGTAAGTCGAGCCCAAATTTTTTGGACCATTGTTTCCGATTGGGACAAATTTTGCTATTTGAGCTGCCGTATATAAAACTGGCTTCATTTAGTCGTATTCACATCAACCTGTGGGAATCCTGGTCTAATTTTACTACCGTTCCAACTGATTTACTGATTTAAGAAAATTGAGCTTCTTGTGAACGCTTGCTATAATCATGTAAATAACTGATAAATAAATTTAAAAAAGCACACTTCAAAAACATTTCAGATGGTATAAAAAAATCAATAAAAATCCAAAGTGGCTAGTTAATAAGCTGAAGTTTGTCTGAAGAAAAAAATCATACCGAGCACAAAAATTCAATCCTTTTAGTCAAAAATTGAATAATAAACATTTTTTATTGTTCAAATTTTTGAACAAAAGGATGGAATATTTGTGCTCGGTATGGTTTTTTCTGTCATTATTTCTGACTAAATAACTGACATTGAAAATAAGTTTTAAAAAAGCACACTTCAAAAACATTTCAGATGGTATAAAAAATCAATAAAAATCCAAAGTGGCTAGTTAATAAGCTGAAGTTTGTCTGAAGAAAAAAATAATACCGAGCACAAAAATTCAATCCTTTTGTTCAAAATTTGAACAATAAACATTTTTTATTGTTCAAATTTTTGAACAAAAGGATGGAATATTTTTGCTCGGTATGGTTTTTTTCTTCAGACAAACGTCAAATTATTAACTAGCCACTTTTGATTGATTTTTATAGAAATTTTTATACCATCTGCAATATTTTGACGCCTGAGTTTAAGTATAAAGAGATATTTGAAATGCGATTTTTTTGAACTAATCGAAAATAGCTAATCGAAGCTTTTGAACTAATCAAAAATTTGGGGCAATTGACACGCAGGCTATTGGTTCTATGGTTAAGTTGCTGTTAGCAAAAGATTTCATTTTGAACTTTATATAGCGAATGGGGCTATTTTTAAAAAAAATAATAAAAAGCTCAAAATTTATTTTTTGTGAACTTCTCATAGTTTTTTTTTTTCGTTTTTACCTGTTATGTATGCTATCGACTTTATGGTAGTCGGAACTGAAATCCAAGCATTGTTGTTTCATTTGTATAAATTAAGGTGATATATCATCTGCTACTTGCACAGCAACTCTTTTCGAGGTACAAGTTTGGCAAATGTTCAACCGATGAATTCCTTTATTGAGGTGGCAATTCGCTACAAGGTACCATAGGGGAGGGGACTATAATTAAGAAGATCCACTACATCAGATATGTTACAAGTCAGCCGAAATATTCAGAGATTTGCCCTGGCAAGCAGTCTGGCATTCTTTTTACTAAGCCCAGTTTGTGCTATGTTGCAAGGTCGTTCGTTTTTTTTTCACCGCCAGCTAAAATGTACACACCAAAATTTATGCAATATATGAACAGGAAAATTTCAGCTGAAGTATTCCCGCTCAAATTTAGAGCATTTCAGTAGCTAGAAACCGGGGACAGTAGAAAAACAGTATGTATAGATGGGGGTGTCTGGAATTAACAAAAAAACGATGATAAAAAATTTCAAATAGTTTCACAAACCAATTCAAGAAGGAGCTAAGCCATGTTTCGCACGGTTAACTATTATGAAATTCTTTCAACTTCTCATATTTTTTTGTATTTTTGTCTACTTTTTAAAATTATTCATCTGCATGTACTTCTGGTAGACTTTGAGTAATAATTGTTATAATATATCAAATTAAAGGATACTCAGTCTTACTTTTTTTTACAGACTCACTTAATTTCCGCAGCTTTTCTTTTTTTTTCAAGTTTTTGTGTTTGATTTTTATCCGTACTTTTTTTGTAAAATTATAAAATTTTTGCCATTTTTAGGGTCTAGCGCTATCTCTGTATAATGTTTTTTGTTTTAGAAAAAAATTTAACGATAAAATTAAATCTGCCTTCGCGGGGATGTTTCAGGGTTAGTATCTGGTTTTATGTTCTAATTGATATTTAAGTTTCCTGTTTGGGGGAAAATTGCTAGATAAACCAGCCGAAGTATGAACAAATTATTGAACACAAGACAAGCTTCAAGGCAAGCTTTGGTTTGTTTACTAAATACAGTGTTTTTCAGGTTGTTTATACTTGGATAACCTTATTTTTTGTATGAAATGTAGTTCAACATTTTTTTGGCGCTGAAGGCATTCTGGGTTTACCTGAATTAACTATGTAGATTTGAAGACCAGTAATACTTGGCTATTTTTGTTTTTACTAACAAGATGTGAGTCTTTTTTGGCTCTTTTTCTTCCCCCCCCCCCCACCAGCGAAATTTTAAAAATAAAATTTTGTTCACATAATCGGATTGTTACAAAAATTGGTATGCGGACTAATTGGGCTATGACAAACATATTTGGTCTTGTTACTTAACCTTGTAAAACCCCTCGTTACTTCATAAAATTGATGTATATATGAGGTTGGCGGGGGGGGGGGAAGAGCCTTTTTTATCCGACCACTTCGCGTTGGGTATTTTTTTCGACCAGTTTCAGTACCTCTTGGGGAAGTAGTCTACGGGGTCAATTATCGCATTATATTAAAACCATATATTGGGAGTTTTGACGTGCTTACAAAAATTCGCTCAAATTCGAGAAACTTTGATTTGAATTTTTTTGATTTCAGACTAAATGCTGCAAATATATATACACTATTAACCAGGGGCGGATCTAGAATTTTCTCGAGGGGGGGGGGGGGGGGGGCAGATTTTCAAAAAATTTTGTCAATCTTTTTTAGGTCGACCAATAGCTCTCCCAAATCACTATAAAGACCCTATTTTGACCAAATCTGCACCGCATGCAAATTTTTGAAACAAAGGCAAAAACGGCGTTGGAAAATTTTGACCAATGAATCGCGCTTTTTTGACGCGAGCTCCCCCCTCAAAATTAGTATTTTCGGCGCCGAAAATTTTTAGGGTCAGTCAGCCCAGAAAGCGCAGGGCACTCATCCCCCGTCCCCCTAAATCCGCTGGTGCTAATACCTGTACAGTATATTTATGCACTATTTACCGGTAATTAGATAATTAGTGCCTATATGTATACACTAATTTGCTTTTAAATGAACATCCCTGGGAGCGAAAATGCCAATTTGGGTCTAATACAGAGTTGGTTTTAGAATTCTCTGACCGATGAGAGGCGGAATGACCGAGAAAGATTTCATTCAAAACCACCCCGCCCTGATCCCCCGAGAGAAGCCGTCGGAGCTTGTCAAGTCGGACAAAAATCAAGTCAAGTCCCCGAAGAAAAAATCAGGCAAAACTGATCGGAGAGAAAAGCAGACACTAAGTCGTTTAGGCCAATCTCTGCATGATCAAACTGTACTAGCAAATAACGATTCGGCGTCACGAAAGTTTAGATTTATAAACAGAGCTAGACGAACACTTCCGAATATCTTCAGAAAGCAAAATTCGAAGCCTGATTACTCCAGCAAATCTGTCGGAAAATTGCGTGCTAAAAATAATGCACACGCAAAAGTGAAAGAAAGTAAAAGTTCAAATGCGCTTGAGTTTGTTCAGATTAGGTCACAAAAAATTCTAGAGAGTGAAAAAATGGCCGATTACATAACAGTTAAGACAACTCCCGCCAGCCAAGAAAGTTCCGACGGGGCTCGGAGACAAGACGACATGGTTCCGATGGCGTCTTCGATGCGGAAAACGAGACTGGATTTAAACCCGACAGGTAATTTCCAACTTCCAGAATACTTAATTTCAATGTCGATACTATTAGTAACGTCTAATTTTTGAGCGTTCATTGCACAATGCTAGTGGTAAAAATTCGGAAAAAATATCAGAAAGGCGAAAAGTAGTGAACAGGTGATCGGTGTCACTAAATATCACTTAAATGATAATATTTGCAGTTGCTTTTTTGAAAAAGGAACTCTAAGCATGGGCCATTTTTAACATTTCCATTATTTTATGGAACAAAAAAACTACCCAATTTTAAAAAATGTCGCGAGCTCAAAATAGCCCGCTGCTGTGCAAGTAGCACAGAAAGCTTCGAAAACAGTTAAATTTGGCAATCAAAAATCCGTATTTGCTTAAAAAAACACACACATTTCGGGTGCGCGGGCTACCCGAGTTGAAGTCCCAGTTATAGTTATCGATGAAAAATTGCTAACCCATTCTTAGTAAGATTTTCATAGGTTTTTCCGTGCTATTTCATAGCTAAATTAATTAGTGCTTATTTATCAAAAAAAAATTTGATAAATTAGCGATAATTCATCGATGATTTACCAATTAAGAAATTTTAATAAAATTCCGCTCGTATCACGATCCTACTGAATCGATTGATCGATTACCATTGTAGGCTTTTTGCCCAGAAGGATGTCTTCCCTTTTTGACTTTGTTAATCCATGATCCGCCAGTTTTTTCAATTTTTTTTCGAAAAGGTTCGAGCAGTTTTTTTTTCGAAAACTTCGGGCACTTTTCTTCAAAAACCTTCCGGTAGTTTTTTTTCGATAACGTTCTGGCAGTTTTTTTCATCACAAAGACAATTAAATTTGAATTCCTTAATGCAGCCCAAAACAGCACAATGGGTTTCAGTATGGTATACCACTCAGTCTCCTCTAAAACCTTTTTGGCACTTGTTTATGCTGTGAAAAAACCAACGACGGTTCTCCCTTCGAAAATTTTTTTTTCCTGGTCAAAGCAAAAAGGCTCTTTTTTGGCCCTTGAAGCTTAGAAATGTTGAATACCCAAAAAGGAGCTAAGTTTCAAAAATTATAATTATTATAAAATGTGATTTTCAAAGATAACAGCCGGCTATCTTGAACATCAGATTCTTTCATTCCATCATTTTTATAGTGTCAACTGAAAAGTTTTACAGGTATGTTTTTGGATCAACTTAACTTTTTAGTTAAAACTTCCACCTGATCATCTGAATTGGATTCAATTTGGCTGAATAATGGATTAATTTTAATTGCGAAAAAAATGGTTAATTTCAGCCGAGTCAGAAATTCTGTCTGAAGCTTTCACACAGTAGCGGATTTAGGAGTGGGTGAATCTTTGTTTTCGTTGCGCAATTAAATCTAAATTCTAGCTTTTAAATTTCTTTTTTTGTTCACTTTGTCTGGCTAGTTTAAATGAACACGGTCGGCTGACTTTGGTTGACTGCAGCAAATCAATTTTTTTCATTCGCGGAGACAAACGTTTTTTTTTGTTGAGAAAAAAATTGAAGGGGTTCAAATCTACATACAGAAAGTTTCTATGAACTAATTAGAGACATAGTTGAAATCATTCGATGAGGTTTTTTAAAAAGCTACTACAAACACTACATGCTTGACAAGGAGCTAACAAATTTCGAAAAAGTTATTTCATTCAAACTTTTGGCGATACTTTTGTAAAACGTGTTGAACTGTTGGTTTTTGATAAAATGGATCTAGTATTTTTGAACAATTTAACTTTTTGGCTGTGTTAGTGGGCTAAAATTTTTCACATAAAAAGGAAGGAACGTTATCAATCAAAATAATTTGGTCACTGTTGTTTTTTAAGGGCGCTTTTGTGCCATTTTGTTCCGAAAATCGCTGTTTTTTCCTCGCTGTTTTTCTTAAAAGAAGGCTTAAGAAACCAATTTTTCGCGCATTTTTCCACAGGAAAATGCATAGTTGTCGAACAGGAATAAAAATTTAAAAGAGTAGCCACCAAGGCTTTCTTTCTATTTTATCCTCCATGTATAATGTACCATTTTTCATATATATCTCAAAATTTCCTACATGATTTTTCAATAAACCATCCACAATGTTCTTTTGACTTAAATCACGTAGGTATTTTAAATTGCTAACCCATTCTTAGTAAGATTTTCATAGGTTTTTCCGTGCTATTTCATAGCTAAATTAATTAGTGCTTATTATCAAAAAAAATTTTGATAAATTAGCGATAATTCATCGATGATTTACCAATTAAGAAATTTTAATAAAATTCCGCTCGTATCACGATCCTACTGAATCGATTGATCGATTACCATTGTAGGCTTTTTGCCCAGAAGGATGTCTTCCCTTTTTGACTTTGTTAATCCATGATCCGCCAGTTTTTTCAATTTTTTTTCGAAAAGGTTCGAGCAGTTTTTTTTTCGAAAACTTCGGGCAGTTTTCTTCAAAAACCTTCCGGTAGTTTTTTTTCGATAACGTTCTGGCAGTTTTTTTCATCACAAAGACAATTAAATTTGAATTCCTTAATGCAGCCCAAAACAGCACAATGGGTGTCAGTATGGTATACCACTCAGTCTCCTCTAAAACCTTTTTGGCACTTGTTTATGCTGTGAAAAAACCAACGACGGTTCTCCCTTCGAAAAATTTTTTTTCCTGGTCAAAGCAAAAAGGCTCTTTTTTGGCCCTTGAAGCTTAGAAATGTTGAATACCCAAAAAGGAGCTAAGTTTCAAAAATTTATAATTATTATAAAATGTGATTTTCAAAGATAACAGCCGGCTATCTTGAACATCAGATTCTTTCATTCCATCATTTTTTTAGTGTCAACTGAAAAGTTTTACAGGTATGTTTTTGGATCAACATAACTTTTTAGTTAAAACTTCCACCTGATCATCTGAATTGGATTCAATTTGGCTGAATAATGGATTAATTTTAATTGCGAAAAAAATGGTTAATTTCAGCCGAGTCAGAAATTCTGTCTGAAGCTTTCACACAGTAGCGGATTTAGGAGTGGGTGAATCTTTGTTTTCGTTGCGCAATTAAATCTCAATTCTAGTTTTTAAATTTCTTTTTTTGTTCACTTTGTCTGGCTAGTTTAAATGAACACGGTCGGCTGACTTTGGTTGACTGCAGCAAATCAATTTTTTTCATTCGCGGAGACAAACGTTTTTTTTTGTTGAGAAAAAAATTGAAGGGGTTCAAATCTACATACAGAAAGTTTCTATGAACTAATTAGAGGCATAGTTGAAGTCATTCGATGAAGTTTTTTAAAAAGCCACTACAAACCCTACATGCTTGACAAGGAGCTAACAAATTTCGAAAAAGTTATTTCATTCAAACTTTTGGCGATACTTTGTAAAATGTGTTGCACTGTTGGTTTTTGAAAAAATGGATCTAGTATTTTTGAACAATTTAACTTTTTGGCTGTGTTAGTGGGCTAAAATTTTTCACATAAAAAGGAAGGAACGTTATCAATCAAAATAATTTGGTCACTGTAGTTTTTTAAGGGCGCTTTTGTGCCATTTTGTTTTTGTTCCGAAAATCGCTGTTTTTTCCTCGCTGTTTTTCTTAAAAGAAGGCTTAAGAAAACAATTTTTCACGCATTTTTCCTCAGGAAAATGCATAGTTGTCGAACAGGAATAAAAATTTAAAAGAGTAGCCACCAAGGCTTTCTTTCTATTTTATCCTTCATGTATAATGTACCATTTTTTATATATATCTCAAAATTTCCTACATGATTTTTCAATGAACCATCCACAATGTTCTTTTGACTTAAATCACGTAGGTATTTTAAACCCTTTTTTCTATCTTGGATTTGAAGAATGACTCTTAGTCAAACGTGGGACTCTGAAAGTTTTTCCCTCTACGCAACATAAAGACCAATGTTCACCATTATGAAGGTTTGTCTAACGGTGTTATTTATACAAAAACTTGAGCCTAGTTGCGAAATCTTAATTGTGCAATAAGAGTGTAGGGATAACGCTAATACTCCACTAAGATTAACATATTGTATTTTAGTTAGCAAGCTCCTTTCAATATTGAAGTTGAATTTTAAAAAACAAATTTTTAACCTTCATCTAAAGCTAAATTTTGAGTGCATTAATGATAAAGGGATCAAAAAGTTTCTCGAACGGGAGTGGGCAACGTTAATTTTAATTTGATACGAATGAATTTGTGAGCACCTCCAATTGACGCCACGACTGTAAATATTTTTTTCATCAATGCTGCAGCCCAGGCAAACTTTTCGGAAAAACTGAAAAAATACCAAAAAAGTTTTTTTTTTTGCTCTCGCTCCCATCCCTCAAATCATATGGCACTTATAACAAAATTTCTAGAATCAACAGTTATGAAATTTAGTTACTGCAAAAAAAAACATAAATATTTGAACTAGTTTGTTTAATTTTTAAAGCTTGACATGCAATTACAGATTTTTGATTATATGCAATTATATAAGTTCTATTGGTTTGATTGAAAAGTAACTCTTTTTTTCATTCAATTTTCGCTTTTTTACAGTAACAACTCAACAAATAACATTTGATTTTTTCTACTAGTTTTTTGGATTTAGGCACGGCGCCAATTCGTTGCAGAAGAAAATGGATTGCTCGCGATAATTTGTCACTATTAAAAAAACGATAATTGGTCGCAAGCAATCTTCTAATCAGATCCGCAAAAAATTTCATATGGAGTCTCACACTCAATATGGCCTGGTCGTTTGGTTGCTGTGCATTGCTAAACAATTCATTTCAAATTGATTACATAATTGATATTAAAAATTGTCGCCTCACCTATGTCCTAGTAGCTGAAACGAAGCATTGTCAAAAATGGCCCTGAAACATAACAAACTTAGCAGTTTTTTTTGAAAAATACTAAATAATGCAAAAAATATCAGTAATATGAATTTCATTGATCTAAGATTTTTTTAGTAACTATAAAGTTAGGGATTCTTTATCGGAAATGAAAACGACTATAATCCATTAAAGCAACTGATAATTTTGAATCATCTAACAGGAATGAACTGCGAAGGATGATACTTATCCCGGCTTGAACTCCATACACAAAAGTTGCTTATTATACAGTTGCATTAACAGCAATTTTTTACATGGCTAGAAAAATTTTCCGAAGCCACAATTCCGAATATCTAGGAATTTTTTGCTGTAAAATCATTTCTAGGCTCAAACAATCAGTTTTCGTAAAAAAATGCAGGCAAAAAATATTTGAGTTATTGTTTTTAACATAATCCAGGTTGTTGTTTTTTGTACAAAAGAAGCAGTAGTGGCCATGAATTTTTGTGCGAAGCGAAAATAAAAATATTTCATGCTTTCATTTGATAAGATAAATTATATTCTGTCAGAAAAATAGGCCAGCAAGTGTTTCTTAGAGTAAAAATTTTCAAGCTATATACAAAAGGTTACGGTTCTGGTTATAATTCCGGGTGAGTACGTTTAACAAATCAACTCTGTTGGCGAATCTTCAAATGCAGTTCACCTGGGCGAGTCTTGCCACTTAACCTATCGGTTTTCCGCCAAAAGAGAAAAACTTGGTTATTGTGTTTTCAGACAAAACATGAATGAATGAGAAAGTCGAGTTTTTCTTTCCTTAAAAAATGCTTTTCAAACAGTTTTGGTTTATAGAAAAATGGATATCATACAACTTCCGTTTTTGAAAAATTTCTTTTCGTAAAGTTTTCTAACTATTTTTTGCACGCATGGAATTGCACGATATCGTACTTAAGCATTTTTCCATGTATGCAAATTTTATGACAACCATTTTTGTTCAGCCAGGGATGTTTATGCAAAAAAATCTTTCAACCGAATAACTTGAGTATCACATTCAGGGGCGGATCTAGGATTTTCTCGAGGGGGGCGGTTTTTCAAAAAATTAATGAACATACTGTCGACTTTTTTTTGGTCGACCAAATTGATTTTCTGAGCTCTCCCAAAGCACTGAAAAGACACTGTTTTGGTTACGTTCCCTGCGCCGCAGGCAAAGTTTTGAAAAAACTCAAAAAAAAGCGTTTTTAGGCACTTTTTGGAATTGCGTTTTTTCGGCGCGCTTTTCCGCCTCAAAATTAGGGTCCGCCAACCAAAAACGGATACCTCAAAATAGTATAAAGGGGACCCTTTGGGTCGGCAGGGGATCAAGTCCCAGTTTAATGATGATCGGCAGGGGATCAAACCCCTCAGCAAATTGAACTGATCCAATAACAAACACACGCATAAGAGATTTATGTTACTGTATGAGCTACTATTAACTGGAATTAACGTGTGTTTAAGGTGTCTCGTCCACAAGATCCAGTCCAGTTCGCAACTCCAATCGGAAGACGAGTTTCCAACTGATGCTTCCGAGAGCAAATGACTCGCCCATCAAACACGAGGATCTCCTTGACGACGGAGGGGTCAAGTCCCGACGAGCTACTTCGTTCAGCTGTGCGGAAAACAGTGATATACTTGAAATTGTAGTGCAAAAGAAGCGAAGGAACTTCCTGCACCGAATCTTCTCCGATAAAACCAAGGTTAAAAGGTCTGCCTCAACCAAATCTAAAAGCAGGTCAGTGTATTGAATTAGAGTTGCATTTAAAGAAAAAGCTAAGAAAATTAATTTATCCTTAAACTCATACCAAGCTTTTGATTTGAATGTTCTACTTCCAAACAATTTTCCGACATAAAAATGACATCATTTAAGAAAAAAATTGAAAGCGTGAAATTGAATGATGTAACCCGAATTTAAATCCTCTAGCTTTTTTGAAGGTTTTTTATAAATTCATTCTCTAAATTAAATTTAAAATGAGCTCTCTGAACAGAAATAGCCTGGGTATTTTTTTGCTTTCGAATTAAATTACTTGCACAAGAATAAAGAGCTATATATTGATCAAATTCATGTTCAATCGCCTACGTTTTCCGAAGTTCAGCCAAGTGTGAAGCAATACATCATTTAACTGGTATTGAAAAAACTTAAGTTTTTTGAACTTACCAAAAATAACTGTTCTCAGAGATTAACAACACCCAGTCAAATATCTATTGGCTTTGGCTTAGTTGCTGTCTCAGCTAAACTTTAAAAGTAACAAGAATTGGAAATATCAGAAACATCACATTTTCTAAATAATGTTTTTATTCAGTATGTCGTTATGAAAATTTTTTGGAAGATGAAGTCTCATATTTTGAAACGGACTCAGATTCGAGAAAATTTCAGAAAAATTCGAGTTTGTTTGGCGCGCGTTTCCCCCTCAAAAGTTTTAAATACTGGCACCGAAAGCGCCATTAGAAAACATTAAGGGACCGTCAGCCAAAAATAGAGATCTTAAAATAGTACAAAGAGGGGACCGGACCCCCTTGGCATTTTGTCCAAGTGTTTTCGTGCAATTTGTCCAAGTTTGGTTTTACCACAAAAAATTCTACAAACAGTAGGTGTATTTTTTTGAATTTTTTACCTAAGTTTTTGCTAGTTTGTTGGACTTGCATTCTTATACTTTCTTGAATTTTAATTTTTAAAGATAAGAAATAAAAAGTTCGAGAAAAAAAAACAATGAGAGATCTTAAAAGTTCTCTGAACAATGATAAAAGTTTTTTCTTTTTTGACTTCATGCGGCATTAATGATCCAATTTTTCCCTCGTAAATAACTTATATACGTTAAAATTTTTGAAATTTCCAAATTCCTTGGCTCAATTTTGGTTGATTTCCCAGTTTTTCTTTTTATAATGAAATTATTTAATTTTTTCATTTCCGAAGATCAAAACTCGTGCCACTTTTGATGAATAATGGGCCGTTTTTTTGCGAGTCAATGCAATTTACGGGTTTTGGTCATGAATAAATGTTCTACAAGTTGTCTGTTTTTATTTCAAGCTGTCGCATTAGAGGACCGTAACTTGAGCGCAAAGAGTCAATAGCACAAAAATAAGAAATTTTTGAAAAGATTTTTAATAAAATATAAGCCTATCAGATTTTGTGATAATAGAACTATCTAATTATCTAAAATATTTTGGCTAAGGAACTCAATATTTTATATAACAAATTTATTTGTACATGAGCTTAACAAAAGATTTGGTTTGGCTCTAACTCAGTTTTTTGTTTAAAATGACTGAGAAAATGGATAAATAACCCTGCATCTGCCACTCAATAGCCATGCTGATATGTTCATCCAGTTCTTTTAGAACCATGACATGTAGTGTTGTTCCAGATATGCAAATTTAGTTACAAAAAGCACGCAATAACACTTAAATAAAGCTAGCAATAAAGTTTATGCTATTTGATTTACATGCTACTTGATACAACCCAGTCGCATTATGGCTTGATATTTTTCTTCATTACTTGCATCTAAGTTGGTCCCCTTCCGCCCAAGCCAAGGTTGTGCGATAACGATTGGACAATGGCGACAAAAATTGGATATTTGCAGACCGTTGCGGTCGAAGTTTGCTATTTTCAGATTTTGCAAACCAATGAAATGTGTCCAAAGCCGACCAGAAAAAAAAACAGTGACCGACATAAACGAAAAAAAATTTTGAAGCGACTCTTAAATGCCCACTTGAAAAAACTTTCAGTTCAATTTTTGCGAGTGTTGTCTTTTCTGCACAATTTGAAACACTATGTAGTTATTATGCATTCTGTTCATGAGGTTAATCAGTTTTTGTTATTCATTTAACTGTTTTTTATTCAGTTAACCAATACTTGTTTTAATATAACAAATCAATTTTTGTACCGTTTTGTTGTTATATCTATTACAGTTTTTTTGCCTCGTTTTGTTTTTTACCTCCCAAAAATTGTTTCCCATACTTTTGTTTGATATCATAGCTTAGAAGTCCGGTCTTTATAACCAGTCTATCGCAACTTATTTCAGACTGTACGGGACAAATTTTAGACTATTGCGACAAACTTTCAGATTATCGCAACTGTGATATGGCGTAATTCATTAGTTCATATGACGTCATCAATGTGCTAGCTATTCGTGCTAAACTTAACTTGCCTTTTTGTTTATCAAGGTCGTGACCGACCTGCCAATCCGTTATAGATTATCACTATGTACTCTCATTCACTCTGACACAACTTATGAAAGATTTGAGTTGTATTGAAAAGATTTGTCATGACAATTTCTAAGTACAAAATTATTTATATTGTTTACAATACTATAAACATAAACAAGGAGAATTGATTCTTGTTTTACAACCGTTCTTTGAGTATTCACATGGCGCAGCCAGCAGTTTCGATCTCCGAGGATCGAACTGACCTGTTAGGCGTACCCGTATTCTGGCATAAACCAACTGCTGATCCACCCTGTAGTTGGGATTCTTGGATAGGACAATTCAACTTGGCAATCAATCTGAGAGAAAGGTGTGATCCACGCGAACTGTTAAAAGTTCCGGGTATAGTACATGACGATCCTGTCCCAAAACCAGAAGCTGTGGGGGTGGATGAAGATGCTGCCGCAATCGCAAACCGTATTGCAAGAAACGACGCAGCGGTCCGGGGGGTTACAGAAATGAACGAAGAGCGTCGGGCGAAAGGGCCCAGAGTTGCACCAGGAGTGTTTTATTACGAGGTTGAACAGCGGATAAAGTCCCGTTTATTTTTCTCGCTCGGTTCTGAAGGGAGCAAAAGATTCCTCCAAAGTTATCCACACGCGGACCTCAGTGCAATTTCATTTCGGGAATTTCACGAATTCTGTGTTCTTCTTTTCAGAAAGGAGAAAAATTATATTATCGAACGGATGCAAATGTACAATGCGGTCCATTCAGATCGAGAAGGTTTGGAAGCATTTTACCTGCGGCTGACGGGACAAGCCGCCCTGTGTGGGTGGACAATTGATCAGGAGAAGGAAGTTGTCAGAGATATCTTCATTGCCAAGATGAGATATAACGATATTCAGAGAGAACTGTGTATTCGTCCAGGTGCTACCCCAGAGGATTCTTTGAAATCAGCGTTACTTCAAGAACAAGGGGCACAAACGGCCACCGATTTGCAACGGCAACTTGGGAGTTCGTCTTCGATGGGCAATTTCTCCCAGTCAAGCACTACTTCGGGTCATAACTCCCAGATAAAACAGGAACCCACCTTCTCGGTCCAAGGAAAGAAACTATCTGATAGGATTAGTCGAGCACAGAGCAGTAAGTCAAAGGGAAACAACGAGAAATCAAAGTCGTGTTATTTCTGTGGTAATAGATTTTCAGCAAATCACAAGCAAAGTTGTCCAGCCAGAAATGTCAGCTGTAGAAACTGTAGTAAGAAAGGTCACTTTGCCAAGTGCTGTAACTCTAAAAGTGTAGCGAATGTTGAAGCCGAGTCAGATAAAACAGTGGAAGAAAATTCCAATTTCATCACGTCCGATAGTGAGTCGGAATTTGCTGTCTTATCAGTGGCAGTAGAAAAATCAAATCGTCCATGTGCGTCAGTAAGGAAATTGGAGGTGGTCAATGCCGCCACGGGCAAGTTACGTTCCATTCAAATAACACTGCGTTGTGGACAAACGTTCTTCAAGGCAACGGTGGATACAGGAAGCCCGGCTTCTTTCGTGAATAAGAAGACAGCAGATTATATCTTGAAAACTGTTCCGTCAGCTAAGGTCTTTACTGTTCAAGAAAGTCCAATCGATACAGTATACGTTGACTATAATAGGAAGAGAATCGAATTGATGGGTACATTAATTCTAGATGCGTCATCTTTGGGTTGGCATGTTAAATCTGCAAAATTTCTTATTTCAGAAAACCGCACACGTTGTTTACTTGGTTTAGATTTGCAACCTCGTTTGGGAGTAAAAACAACGCAAGTTAGACCAGAACGGCTTTTGGTGGGTGAAGTCTCCCAATCAAACTTGAATGCAGCGTCTGATTCCTGGAAAAATCACTTCCACCAGAAATTCCTTCGTGTATTCACTAGAGTGGGTAGAGCAAAAAATCATAAAGTTTTCTCTACATTCAAGTCTCCACTAGTACCGATTCAGGAAAAAGGAAGGAGAGTTCCGGTCCATATTCAAGACAAAGTCGGTCAGGAAATTAAAAAATTAATTCAAGAAGGCCATGTAGTAAAACTTAATAAATGCACAAGTGAGCATTTTATTTCTCCAATTGTCATTACGGCTAAGAAGGATGGTTCTGTGAAATTGGCAATGGACGCAAAACCTATGAATGATCAAATTTATAAGAACCATTATCAAATGCCGAATTTGTTGGAACTGTTGGACTCGGCGGCCCAGATAATCACATCGAACACGTTAGGCGATGTCTGGTTTACGTTGCTAGATTTAAAATATGTATTCAGTCAGATTCCGCTCAGTGATGAAGTTAGTCGTCATTGCAATTTTAATATCGTTTGTGGAGAACAAACTGGCACGTATCGCTCCAAAACTGGGTTTTATGGGTTAACGGACATGCCGAAAGAGTTCCAAAAGGCGATGGACAATACCCTCCAGGGGTTGTCGGGAGTATTCTGTTTCCTGGACGATATTCTGATAGTCTCGAAGGGTTCAATATCGGATCACAATATTCTTGTAGATAAGGTGATAACTCGGTTGGATGAAGAAGGTTTCGCTCTGAAGCTGTCGAAATGTGACTTCTCATTGA